CAGAGGCCACCAACTTTTTTTGACCTAGAAATGGTCAGAAATTCACCTGGTGTGTTTTCTAGGCAGGGTGACCTAGAAAACTAAACTTGCAAAAGTTAGGCCACCATGCTAAAATGGGCTAGAAATAGTCGGCTTTTCACCTGGTGTGCTTTCTAGTTCATTTTAGCATGGTGGCCTAACTTTTGCAAGTTTAGTTTTCTAGGCCATAATGGTGAATACCCGTGAAAGACGATTTTTTTTCGATATTTCTAGGTTACGGTAGTAGTAAAAAAGGTTTTTCAGAGTGATTCAAACGTACTCAGCCGACGGTTCGGCGTTCACTGATAAGCTCCTTGAGCTAAAACGATTCCGATATTTCGCCCCCGAGAAGGATGAAATCATCGAATCGAAAATGAAGGACGCCGTGGAGCAGCGAATCGATCGACTGCTTCAACGAATCGCCAATCAACGAGCCGATCTGGATTGGATTCGAAAGAACAAGGCCAGCTTGGACCGGCTGATGGCGTCGAATAATGTGAAATTGGTGTCGCAGCGATGGGAGGTGGATATGACCGTGGGAAGGATCGAAAGTGCAGTTATTAAGCATCCAAGTAGGCAATTTTCAATATTTTGAATTTTTGAAATTTCGGATTTTTCAGAAGCGCTCGCCGTCTGCGCCAACTGCATCGTCCATGTGCCGTCGTTGAGCCCTTTCAAAATTGAGATGAGGCCAGCGTATCGATTGGAAATTCGAGATAATACCAATGCGCTGACCGCATTTTTCGATCAAAAGAGCACTTTGGTTTCGGCGAAAACGTAGGCTTTCCGGATTTTCAAATTTTCAAAAAAATGCTCCAGAAACATCCGTCGCTTCAAAAACCACTTCTTCCGGCTCATCGAGCAACACGAAGTGAGCAGCATTTGCTCCGAGGGCTTGAGTCTTATCATCGTCGTTGATCCATTCAATGGCGACCACGACAAGCACTGTGACGCATTGGAACTTCTCGAAAATGCCACGGCCTACGAGAGCATTGTCGTCGGCCTGACGCCGTTCAACTTCCAGGCCATCTCCACTTTCCTTGCCAAACTTGTAGATATTGGAGAACGAGACCCGCGTGTTCGCATCGTCTACATCAACGATCAGGAGCGGGATGTCGAGCAGATGGTGGAGTTCGCAATGTCCCGATAATAACTGAAAATTGTAATAATATCTGAATACCTTTGTATTTTTTACGGTTCCCCCCCCCCCCCAAATGATCCTCTCCCGTCTTAGCTGTACCAATTAGCTCAGTAACTGAAACCCAATGCATTTAAAATATCTAGTCTAGATGTATGATAATAAAACTTATTATCAATTCTCCAACAAAAAAAATTAACACAAAATAGAGAGTAAAACAAGAAGAAGAATCAACAAAACAATATAACGAGAACAACGAAGATGGGTATTAAGGGGGTATGTATAAGAGAAAAAAGGCCTTTAGAATTAAAAAAAATCAATGCTTGGTGGATTTTCCGTCCAATTGTGCCTTCAACAGGTTTGCTCCTTTCGAGCTGTACCCATCCAAATGTTTTCTGCTGATCGACGCCTTCAGCTTCTCAACCACTTTTGGCCCGCCGACTTGGAGCATCTTGAGAAGAACATGGCAACCTCTGTTGCATGTCACCCAGCCGCCAAGCTGTTGTTTCGTGAGCCCTTCTGCCAACGCCACCGATACTCGCTCGTCTTCTGGCAGAGCCGTATCGCAACGCATGATAGCCATAAGGACAAAGTTTCCAGACTGATGTTCGATGATGTGGAATCCTTCTTGGTCCATTGGCACAAAATCCTTTTTGGCTAGCTCAACGAGAGCTTGATTGCACGCCTTGCGACCGTCTGATGGGACTTGTCTGTCGAACAAATCGAATTTGGCTGAAAATTGGAGCAATTCAACTTTTTTCGAATAAAAATGTATAGAAAATTATGTAGTTTCAAATAGCAACAAAGAAAAATTCAAACAACTTTGAAAATCGCATCTGGAACCTACTAGAAGGTCGACAAAACTGAAAATCTTTGAAAATGGCTGAAAAACCTAAACGGGTCTGAAAATTTCCCAAGAATCGAATGAAAAATTACAGAAAAACTGCCAACTCTTCGTAGTTTTCAGTTTTGCCGGGAATTAAAAAAAATATTTGAGAAGCGACTTCCCGAATTTTATCCTTCTTTGACACAATTTGACGCAGTAAAAAAATATAAAACAACTTACATGTGGTTTCAAGGCAAGCAGCGACGAATTTCGACTTGTTGGCTTCGAAGACAAGCTCTTCAAAGTTAGCAGCCAAGTATGGATATAGATTCTCCGTGATTCCAGCATACAACTGTCCGTATCGGTCTTTCTGTGTCTTCTTCGAGTGCGGATTGCTGTCTCCCTCCGAAAGGAACTCAATCTCCCTCTTATCAATTCCTCGTCCATCCCTTGGGTGCACAAGATAATGGATAACCTTCTCTCCCCAATCGTCTTCGATCAGCTTCTTCATCTCGTTCGCCAACTCTGATACAATCACTTTGTTCAACAAAACGGTATCATCGACGGTGTCGAAGAGAGCAAGAAGTACGCGATGTCCATAATGTTCCATAGCAGCTTTGACTGACAGATCTTTGAAATTCTTCACGATCAACTTTCTCTCCTTGACTGGAGCAAACCAAATCAACTTGATAGCAAGCTTAGCACCGTCTGGAGTATGGATGAACTCGGGAATTTTGTCTTTGAGAGAGTCCAGAAGATTCGTCTTCTTTTCTTCATCACAGTTCTCAAAGAAGTCGAGCATAAGCTTGTGGAGAATCGAAAGTCTGAGAGTCTCCTTCTCGTTGACAGCTCCGATAACCTCGTCCAAATGCTTCATGATCACAGCTTTCTTTTCTGGTTTCTCAGCAAGAATCTCCGATAATGGGCGGATTTTATCCTCCTGCAAGGCAAATAATACGGATTTATAAGCAAGGCGTGATCCCTTACTCGGAAAATGATAAACTCCTTTCCATAGAACTCTGTGATAATGTCATTGCGTTGATGAGCATTAGCAAAGTCATTGTAAGCATACTCGAGGACTTCAGCAGCGTGCTTGATTCTGAGAAGAGTTGGAGCATGGCCACGGAAAGCGGTGATGATGAGGTCGCGTTGTTCTTTTGTGCCGTTCTTCAACATTTTCTTCACGAAAAACTTAGAATAGACGTTCTTGGACATTCTAACGATCTCTGGCGTTAGTTCGTTGAACACTATAAGAGAAAACAAAATTATTTTATCTAAAAATTTAAAAAAAAACTTACAATTGTTGATAATTCCTTCTCTTTCAGTTGCAACCAAACACTCAATAACTCTGCTTGTGTCATGAGAGTAGATCAACTTCGCAGCATGTCCTTTAACCAGTCCGTACAACTCATGAATCGCCTCGTCCTTCTCTGCCTTTGGCGTCTTTCCCATTCTGATTTTTTCCCAAAGAATCTTGCACTTATGGGCACGCTCTCCTTCTGGCTTCCTCTTCTTTTTGAGCTCTTTCAGGAACCTCTTTCTCTCTTGTCTTGGCATGTTCAGTAGCTGTTCTTTAACCGACTTGGTGACTACAAGTGGTCTCTTTCTCTTCAGTTTCGGAACATCAATAAGAGACTCATCGGCTCCGGTTTGCTCATCAACTGATTCCAGATTGTCCTCCTCTTCAGCTGGTTCGGAGACGGTTACTTTCTTAGCGCTGACTTTCAGCTTCTTCTTTGGGGGAGCAGAGACCTCTTGCTCTTCAGCAACAACTTTCACCGACTTTGGGAGCTTCTTGGCCTTTTTGTCTAGTGGAGATCTCAGAATTCCTCTTCCTGGAGACGCTTCAGATGGTTTGATTTGAAGATCATGCACACGTTTGTCGAAAACTTTGACATGCTCAAGTTCGCCGGAAAACAACACCTTCTTTGACTTCTTCTTTGGTGCTGGTTGGCTCCCGAAAGATGATTCGGAGCACAAAGAGTCACGAGTTCCGTCGTTATCGAAAATCGACGTTGACTTCACTTGTTTCTCCAAGGCTTCTTTCACTGCTTTGTTGACTTGGCTTTTCAACGCCGCTTTCTCTTCGATCTGGAAATTTTGATTTAAAAAAGCTTGTCTTTTGACAAAAATACAAACCTTCACAATTCGTTTCCTGTCAATTTTGTTGAGCTTCAGTCCCTTCGCCTTCTTTTCCAACACACTTTTCACCTTCTTCTTCCCCTTGAATTTCTTCTTTTTATCCTCAATTTTCACCATTTTTTTACCCGAGTGTTGTCTGAAATTAAAATTGATTAGTACAGAAAAATTTGGGCTTTCGGATTCATCAAAAATTACGATAATTTTTATAGCAGAACATATTGAAAAGTTAGAAAAAGGGATCGGAAAAACATCGGAAAAAATGCGAAAAAGACATTTTTGTTTAAAGGAGCATGGCTGCATCTGGTGTCTCTCAAATCGGCACGCTCTCTCTACGCGTTCGCTGCGAGACCCACTAAACGCCGGCTCCCGTCGTAAATCGACAGAAGAGAAATCATCATTTGAATTTTGAAGGTTTCCGAGCTCATTTCTTTTTTTTTTACTTGTAAAATTCCGGGCCGGGCCGGGCCTGAGGAAATTTTCAAGGCCCGGGCCCGGCGCGGAAGGTCCGGTGTCAAAAATTCTGTATATTTGAGCCAAATTTTGAGCTCTCAATATAATTTTTTCCATTTTTTTTTTCGTATTTCGGATTGTTTGTCTGTCTGTTCAAAAAATATCGAAAAACTCGAAAAAAAATTTTTTGGTCGATAAAAATCACATAAGGGTCCCCCTTATGTGGTTTTTGAAAATTTCGAAACTAGTGAAATGGACGGGCCCGCCGGGCCTCCGAAATTCCGGAAAAAGCCCGGTCCGGCCCGGCCCGTTACAAGTATGGTTTTTTTTCCTTAAAACTAAAATTTTTTCTCTGAAATTTATATATTTTTTTAAAGAATGAGTTCCATCGGTACTGGCTATGATCTCGCCGCCTCGACATTCTCTCCAGACGGAAGAATTTTCCAAGGTTGGTTGTTAGATCTTAGTTTAGTGAAAAATTGATTATTTCCAGTCGAGTACGCTCAGAAAGCTGTTGACAATGCGGGAACAATGATCGCAATCCGCGGCAAGAACGGAATTGTGATGGTTGCTGACAAAGTTATCTCCTCCAAGCTTTACACTGATGTGAGTGTCGATTTTTTAGAAAAGTTCCTTTATTGAAATTTTTCAGAATGCCAACCCAAGAATGTTCAATGTTAACGACAACGTTGGTGTCGGAGTCGCTGGAAACTACCCAGATGGCTTCTCACTGAAAAACTACGCCTATGGAGAGGCCATGAAGTGGCTGAAAGACTACCGCGAGCCAATGCCAGTGCAGAACATTTCCAACGCTGTCGCTGAATACATCCACATTCACACCCTTGGTATCAGTCGTCCTTTCGGAGCTGGAGCCTTCTTCGTCGCCTGGAACAAGCAATCCGGTGGCCGTCTTTTCCTTGTAGAGCCATCTGGCCTAAACTACGAGTATAAGGCCTGGGCAGTTGGAAAGCATCGTCAAGCCGCGAAAGCTGAAATCGAGAAGCTCAAGATCGATGAACTCGATATGCAACAGTTGGTGAAGGAAGCCGCTCGGATTATCATGGCTGTTCGTGACGAGAGCAAGGACAAGAACGTGCAAATCGAAATGGGGTGGGTCGGAGAGCACACCAATGGAAAATACGAGGAGGTGCCTGAAGACGTTGTCACCGCTGCTGAAGAGTGGGCCACCGCTAAGCTCGATGAGGACGACATGGAAGATTGAATTCTCATTGTGTATTTATTCTCAGTTTTAATTTATTATCATCATTTCCCCCTCTTCTTCTGCCCTGGTAAGCTTCTTGCGCTCGCCGAATCCAACTATAGAATTTCGAGATTCGTCGAACTCAAGAAGCCAGTCTCATTGCATCCGGATGTGTTTTAACCTTATCTGTTCACAATACTTTTCTTTTCCCGGTATTATTCATTATTTTAGATGAACCATGAACAGATCTAACAAATTTTTTATGCAAAGACCCGTCCCAAAAATGGCATTATGTACAAAAAATTCAAAAAAAAAGAAAAAGTTTAAGCAGCTACTGCTTGGACAGCGTCCTCGATGAAGACACTGGCTCCATTTTTTTGCTTTTCCAGGCATTCAAAAACTGCATCTCGAAGGTGACGATAGGTTCTCGTGAGCTCTCCCATCCCGGTTTTCAAGCCGTTGGAAACATAAGCAATGGTGATTCCGTCATCCAGATCCATCATGATGGTGCTTCCACCGTAACCCGGGTGCCCGACAAGCCACTTTTTCTGTAAAAGGAAAATTCGTGGCGCCAGGTCTTCAAATAACTTACCCCGCTCATTGGATGTCTCTCGTACAAGAAACCATGCCCTTTTGGTAATGGAGTCATGACGACTTCATCGATTCCTTGCACTTGAGGAACACGGAACTTCTCCAAAAGATCCTTCGAGAACAACTTCCCCTGTTGAACCAACGAGAAGAGTCTAGCCAAGTCTCTTGACTTGGTGATTCCGAGAGCAGCAACTTGCTCCATAGCATGAAGAGTTGGGTTGTTGAAAGTGTTAACATCCTGCTCTAATTTGAACCAAGTTGGATTGGCGGCGATTTTTCTAGCGATAGAGTTTGGAGGACGCAAGTTGAATACAGCGAGAACGATAAGAACACGAGGATCGTGGACGATTTCTCGGAAGAGGTGCATTGTGGAAGGCATAGATAGCCGGGATACTGTGTGCTCTTCGCTGGGCGGAAGACCGATATGGAAATCGATTCCGTGAACGTCGGCGACTTCTTCCTTGAAGAATCTGCCGACTGATCTTCCTTGGGGATCGGCGCGTCTAACGATTTGATCTACGATCCAGCCGTAGGTGATTGCATGGTAGCCGGATTTGGTTCCAGGCTCCCAGTTGGGTTTTTGGGAGGCGATGACTTCACTCATTTTGGCGAAATCGTTGGCGTCTTCGATGGAAATTGGCATGTCGAGAGCAGCGAGACCGGCCTGAAAGATATAAGTTAGAACCTGAATTCTGGAGTTCTGGATTTCAGAATTGCCGAATTTCGAAATTTCCGAATTCCCAAGTTCTAGAGTTTCCGGTTTTTTGAATTTCTGATTTCCGAATTTCAGAACTTCAGAATTTCAGAATTTGAAGAGTTTCAGGATTTTTGAATTTCCGAATTTTGTAAATTTTGAATTTTGCTTTTCAAGAATCCAGAAATTCTGAAGTTCTGAGATTCTGAAATTTTGAAATTCTCAGATTTTCAGATGTGGAAATTCGGAAAGTCACAAATTCGAAAAATTCAGAAATTCTGGAATTCTGAAATTCTGAGATTCGGAGATTCTGATATTCTGAAATCCTGAGATTCTGAAATTCTGAAATTCTGAGATTCTGAAATTCTGAGATTCTGAGATCCTGAGCTTCTGATATTCTGAGATTCTGAGATTCTGAAGTTTAGGAATTCAGAAAATGTAAGATTTTGGGATTAGGAGATTCTGAGATTCTGAAATTCTGTAATTCTGGAATTCTGAGATTCTGAGGATCTGAAGATTAGAAATTCAGAAAATGTAAGTTTCTGAGATTCAGAAGTTCAGAAATCCAAAAATTCTGAAAATCAAAAATTTGGAAATTGTGATACCCTAAGATTCTAAATTTTAAGATTCTGCGGTTCTGATATTCTGAGATTCTGAAATTCTGAGATTCTGGGAATTTGTAAATTCAAAAACTCGCAGTCGGCAACCGGCCGCCCGCCAGCCGAATGAAGCTGAAACTATTACCCGATGAGACATGAGCCAATCAATAGTGATATTCTCCTTCCCGTTCTGCGCAAACTCTGGCCAAATCTTGCTCATCTTGTCGTCATAACTAATGTACCCACGATCGACCAGAATCGCTACACAGACTGCTCCAACCGCTTTTGTGGTACTGAATACAACTGTCCTGGTGTCCGGAGTCCATTTTCTTCCAGATGCTTTGTCCGCATATCCTCCTTGAAGATCAACAATCACTCGATCCTTATGGTATACGGTAATCGACGCACCCTCTCGCTCCCAACCGTCGGCGAAGTTTCGTCTGGAAGTTTTCTTTTTGTTTACACTGTTGTTCACTTTGTATTATTCGTTTTTCATTTGCTTTATGTATTCTGTATTCACTTTCCTTTTCCTTTTCTCTCTCTCTCTCTCTCTCTCTCTCTCTCTCTCTCTCTCTTTTTTCGTTTTCAGCACAAAGAGACGCAGAGTGTTAGAGTATAATTGGGTGGAGAATAATTGAGAGTGTGTATTCACACGACCTTGGTGAAAGGTGTATGCAAATATCATGAACAAGCAAAAAGAGAACAAAAAAAACTTTTTAGATTTCAGAGATAGATTATAAAGGGCATCCCTTGAAGTTAAAAAAAAATCGTCAACTTCGAGCTTATAATCTCGCTTACTGTAAGAGATATCAAAAAGTGGCCAACTAATAAAATATTTGGCATAAAATAATGAACTTTTTGTCAATTGACTACTTTTTCATATCGCGTACAGGAAGCGAGATAGACCACCCTGTAGAGGGGCCTCTGTTCGTCAACTTTGAACCCATTTTTCTGACTTCCTGTAACAGATATCAAAAAGTGATTAACTAACAAAATGTTGAGCATAATACTATAAACATTTTGTTAGTTGACAACTTTGTGATATCTCTCACAGAAAGCTAAATGATTTGGCTCAAAGTTAACAACTAGAAGTGCGTCACTCCCAGAGGCACGTCTTCTTTGAGCTCATTTTTCTGGCTTCTTGTAGAAGATATCAATAAGTAATCAACTGACAAAATATTGAGCATGAAGTTAAAAATATTTTTTTGGTTTACCACTTTTTGATATCTCTTACAGGAAGCAAGAAAAAACGGCTTAAAGTACCGACATAAAGCTCGAGTTATTCTGCTCCTCCCTGAACTAGTGTCTCTAACTTTAAGCTCATAGATCTCGGTTCCTGTCAAAGATGTCAGAATAAGGTTAACTAATAAAACATTGCTGATATTACGATAAACATTTTGTCTGTTGACTACTTTTTGATATTTCTTTCAGGAAGCGAGAAAAAACGACTTAAAGTTAGGGACCCCCTAATTACGCGCTATGTACAACTGATGATTTCAAAACTCACTTGAAAACTTTCTCCACCTTCTCATAGCCAGAAGCCACATGTCCGACGAGGTTGTCGAGATGCATTCCGCCGCCTTCAATGAGAATCGAAACGTTGTCAACTGCGATGGCCAAGACAAGCCACGCCCCCACGGCGGCGAGAATACTGTAAATTTGGGTGGTAAGGAAGAATTGAGGGTGGGAGAGTAAACACAAAAAGGGATGACTAGTTTTCGATATGGAGGTCACGCTTTCAGAATATGATGCTTATTCTGCTGCTTTTTGCTGATGGGTTAATGAGGGAGTGGGGGTATTGTTGTCCCTTTTTTTCAGAGAAAAAAGAAGGAATAAAGAGAAAAAAGGACAATAAAATTGTAAAAAGAAGGAGAAGAACAGGAAATTGAAGGCCGCCTTTTGACCAATTAGTCAGTGTCTCTTGATTTTGTTTTAACTAATTTCAACTTTAACTAATCATATCTTCAATTTTAGGTCGGATTTACTTTTTCAGGAAGTTTTAAAAAACAGATGTGATAATTGATGGGTTCGGGAATGGCAGGGGTTTTCCAATTTCCAATATTCGGAGCACATCTGTAATTGTTATTTTCGACCATTTTTGAATTTCTCATGTTTGGAGCTTCAAAATGAGTACAAACACGGCACAGTTTGGAGAATTTTGGGGCATTCGGAAATTCGCCCATAATTTTTATGGTCCCTAACTTTTTCAGTTTTGCATCAAATTAGCTGAAACGTACGTTTTCAAGTTTCCCTTACTTCAAAAGCTTCAAAATTAGCTTCAAAATGAGTACACACACAACATGTTTCTGAAAATTCCAATTTTTGACCTTAAAGGCGCATGATGAGGACGAAAATCAATATTATCCGAATTTTGTCGTGTTTATACTCATTTTGAAGTTCATAACAAGACAAACTCAATTTTTCAAGAAATGAACAAATCTCAAAAAATTTCACAAAATCCGAATTCATCGAAAATCGAAAAATTGAAATTTTTCCGATTTTCGAGGGGTCCTAATTTCTTCAGTTTTAAAGAAAATTAGATTTTTAAACTTGTCTTAAGAAAATTAGATTTTTGAACTTGAACATTGTTGTAAGCTTCAAAATAAGTATAAACACGACTATATTCGGATGATTTTGATTTTTGCCCTTGGACCATGCGCCTTTAAGGTCAAAAACTGAAATTTTCATAAACATGTCGTGTTTATACTTATTTTTAAGCTCATGACAAGGGAAACTCAAAAATATGAGCTTTATAGGTTTCGAAGAGAAACTGAAAAAGTTAGGGGCCATACAAAGTTGAGCGTATACCAAAATTTTTCGAAATGCTCCAAACTTGGCCGTGTTCATACTCATTTTGAAGCTCTAAACATGGTTAACTCGAAAATAGCAGAAAATTTAAAGAAACTAAAAAACACATGCTTCTTTAAGGATTTCGCTAACGGACCTAAGCCCCGCCCATTCTCGAATTTTCGGCCGCAAGTCGCACTGTTAGCTTTGAGCTCATGTATCTCAAGTCCTGTAAAAGATATCAGAAAATGATAAATTGACAAAATGTTTTAATATTATGATAAAAATTTTCTCAGTTTACCATTTTTGGTATCTTCTATAGGAAATGAAATACTTGGGGTTAAAATAGACTATTAGAGGCGCCTCTACAGGGTGGTGAACAAGACTCCAATCATCAAACATGAGCTCACATATCTCATTTCTTGTCAAAGATATCAAAAATGTGTTAACTGACAAAATTGTTCTTATATTATGATGAACATTTTGTTAGTTGACCACTTTTTGCTACCTTTTGCAGGAAATGAGATATAGAGGTTCAAAGCTGACATCATCCAAAAATCTCAGGAGCTTGAAACTTCAGAATCCCGATGCAGAACATTTGTCCCCAAGACTAATTTTTCGTACCCCGACCAAAATTTTAAACAGTAGAGCACTAAAAAAAACTTCACATGATTTTTCGAAACATGCCACATACATATATTTCGTTTCGTCACCCGAAAAAAACCACTAAAGAAAGAAGCCCATATGGTATGATTGACAGTTCCTATTCAAAAAAGCTCTTATCAGTAGCAAACAGACTACAAAATGGGTTGAAGAAGTAACTGATAACTGAATAATCTATTATAACTATGTGTGTTTGGAATCAAACGTCAAAATTTATAGATGGTGTGTGCTACGCTGTGGTTGGGAATTGGAAAAAGCGGGAAATTTCAAAATGGAGAGTTTTCGAAATTCGAAGTCTCTGAAAATTGGCATATTTTCTGAGTCTTGTAAAATACCGTATTTCCTCTTTGAGATCAATTATCTTGGTTCCTTCAAGAGATATCAAAACTATATACACTAATAAAATTTTAATCACTTTATCATCAATATTTTATCAGTTGACAGATTTTTGATAGCTTTGACAGGAACTGAGATAATTGAGCTCGGAAGAAAGATAACTTGATATGCAGAAAATTCCAGAAAATTCCTTCTTTTCAAAGTGAGACTGGTGATTTGAAAAATGGAAAAAATCAAACGATGACAAAATTCCAAATAGACAAAATTCCAAAATCAGTAAGCTTCTAGTTTTTCTAGGAACCGAGATACAGCCATTTAAAATATGGGAGGCTAGAGACGGAAGACGACGAGACACGCTGCGTCTCTACTAACCTTGGAAACTTTAAACGACTGTATCTCGGCTCCTAGATAAGCTAGAAAGTTGAAAACTGGACAGGAAAGTGTGGAATTTTAAAGAGACTATATTGGGACCAATTTTTGTTAAATTTTTTTATTTTTCTAGGCCTTCTAGTACCCGAGATACAGTCATTTGAGGATTGGGAGGCTACAGTGTGTCTCGTTGTCTGCGTCTCTAATCTTCGAAACTTCACAAGGTTATATCTCAGCTTCTGAAAATCCTAGAAAGTTGGTTTTTGGACATGTTTGAAGGAAATTTTTAGCTTTATATCAAAACTTTGAAACCAAGAAGTTTCAAAATTTCAGAACTTGAGAGTCTTAAAACCTAGAATCTTACAACTTCAATATCTCAGAAACATACATCAAGTGTAAACCGAATATTTCATGCTACACAAAAGATACACAGAAAGCAGATATATAGATCAGATCAGTCCGTCAAAATGAACGTGAAAAAGTGAAAATGAAAAAAAGTGCGAGGCAAGTTTCAAAAAAATCACCATCAGGAGGTGAAAGTGACAGGAAGATAGTACTCACCCAGCAATTCCGTAGATCAACAGTCGACGCTGCAATGAACCCGTTTCCAGCAGAAAACGTTGTCGTTGTTTCCTCTCTTCTGTTTTCTCTTCTTCTTCTCCTTCGTCCACCACCACGTCGTCGTCCGTTTTCATCACCACGTCTTCTGTTGTCGTGATTTCAGTGGTCGACGTCGTCGCCATGATTCCGAAAAATAACAACAATATTAACCAGAGAGAATTGAAACACCTTTAGTTTTCATAATCCGACGACAGTTCTTCTGGTTTTTCGGGGGGACACAACAGTCCATTCCAATTATATATTATATCCGAAAAACCAGTTAGTGGAAAAAGAGGGAAATTTTGTACTAGGGGGTGGGTTGGTTATTACCGAAAACACCGAAAACACTCTAATAGGAGGATTGAGCTCATATATCTCAGTTACTGTAGGAGATATCAAAAAGTGGTCAACTGATAAAATATAGATATTATGATAAGTAATTTATCAGTTGATTAATTTGTAATATCTCTTGAAGCAGCCGAGATATATAAGCTCGAAGTTTGCTCTAGCTTTGGGACAGGGATCGCTAGGGTGTGGAAACTGTCAACTTTGAGCTCATATATCTCACTTCCTATAAGAGCTACTAAAAAGTGGTCAACTGATAAAATATAGCGAATATTATGATAAATAATTTATTAGTTGACCGCTTTTTTATATCTCTAAAAGGAACCAAGATATATGGGTTAAAAGTTGACGGGTTTTCAGCACAGGGACTACCCCAGAAGGGGGCGGGGGCACTCATTTTTTTTTTGCATTTGGCGCTATGTGAAATTATAAAGTTTCGAGAAAAAATTAATGCTAAAATTGAAAAGCCGGGTGGAAATAGAAAAATGAGCAGCGCCTTTTTTGAGGGTGAAAAGAAAAGAGGTGGAGCAAGGCGGAGATAGAAGAGACCCAGACAAAAAATTGATAAGAGAAAAGACACATAGTCAACGGTGTTGGTTGCTGAAAATGCATGAGCTTATCAGCTGAATCAGCGCACAGCATAGTTAAAATAAAAATTGCAAATGACGAATAGAACAGTAGATAAAATTTTTGTGTTCGTTGGCCACAGATTTTTTCGTAGTTAGAAGTGACTAATGAGTAGTTGTTGAAACTAGAAAATTTTCTATCCCCCAACTTGAAGCCAATTTATCTCGGTTCCTGTCGCAGATATAAAAAAGTTTTCAACTGATAAATTATTCATCATAATATCAGCTATATTTTATCAGTTGTCATATTTTTGATATCTCTCATAGGAGCCGAGATATATAAGCTCAAACTTAATAGTGTTCGGGATATTCGACAACAGGTTCTCTGGAAAAGTGCTCAAATTGAATATAAGATTCAAATTTGAAAAACGGAAGCTTTCAGTAAACTGGCTATGCTATATCTGACCACCAAGAAACATTTTCCAAATGATCGATGGGCAGAAAAATAAAGAAAATGGCCAACACACAGGGATGCCTTCTAAAAAGGATAGTGTAATATCCAAACGCTTTTTGTAATGTTTGTGTTACATGACGGACACAATGTTTCTTTTCCATATAATCTGGATATTCAAAGGTAACGGCATCCTTTTTCATTGTTTGTCTTTTCCGATTCGGAAGCGAACATTCTATAATTATAGGTTAGAAAACTGGGAGTCTACAGAGAGAAACACCTTTAGTTTTCATAATCCATGCTAAGGATGCTAAGGTTTAAAATTGTCAAAAAAGGGAAAATTCGTATATCCTGGGGACAGCGTTATATCAAAACTGATAAACGGAAAAAAAACTGTGCATGATTAGAAAATTGTGCAATTTGAAAGTTATGTGAATCTTGAAGAAACCGAAAATTATATCAACAGCTGTTTAGAGACAATGTTCTAGAAATGCATTAGATTTGGATGGGAAACTACAGTACTGGATTTACCGGATTTTTCGCATTTAAAGTTGATCAGGAAATATAATTTTGAAATCGATAGGACTAAGGAAGTCCCCTTTGAAAGTCTGTTTGTAATGATATTGGAGAAATACTGTCAGAATAGACATACTTGAAGAGATTTTGATTTAATAATTATTAATTTATTGAGAGAAGGAAGTTATTAGGAAAGAAATTACAATTAAAACACCGATAGAGAGAAACCGTCAATACAAATTAACAGGCGAGAGAATGAAAGAAAATTAAAATTGGTATCATAACTTTTTTGACTTCTTGGACATCAATTGCTTGGCAAGTTGTGGATTGTAGAATGGGTTTGGGACAAGTTGGACTCCACTTGGTGAGATTGGTGACATCTGCTTTTTCTGGCGTTCGGCCAAAATCTGCTTGGCGAGTTCAGGGTTGTAGAATGGATTTGGAATAAGCACTGGAGGTGGGCTAGAGGTAATTGGACTGGAAGGCGGACTAGAAACTTCAGAATCCGAGCTGTAAACTGGAAATTCAGCTAGGTGGGATTCATAGTGATATTGGTCTTGGATCTCAATCATTTTCTCAGCCATATAGCGAGAGTAGTTATCCAATGATTTCTTCTGGACCTGATTGAGGCGATTGGTCCGTGGGATATAGTGGAAGGAATAGAAAGATGGAGCAGAGTAGTAGAAAGACATGGTCTAGAGAGTTGACTAACTGTATCGGTGGTTTGAGACCTGGATTCCGCTCCTCCTTATATACCTTTTTTAGACCTGGAATTTCGCTCCGCCCACCACGTTCGAGCTCCTGGGAAAGTGCGGACTGAGGTGCAGCTTCCCATCATACCGGATGTCGGGTTCCTGTGCTCCGGGGAAGTAAGGTACAGTAACGTCGTCATATACAGTTGTAAATTACTTACTTATATTGACAGTAATTACAGGTGAAGACCGTAGACAAGATAAGGATATATGTAGGTGATGTTAGCGGATGTAAAAGAGGTAGAACTAGACATGAGAGCAGAACCAGTACTGTTACGGATGTGAATTCAAATAATGTGCTAATTGTAAGTGTTAATCAAAGACATTTTTGATTTCCTGAAAATCCAGTCACCTCCAGAACATTTCAGAAATTGGAACAAATGAGCTCTGATTTTTCTAGAAGGACGTTCTTCGTGCTTATCTGATGTTCAGGAGATTCTAAGTTACAGTAACCGAAAAAATTGGAACATTTTTGGAACTGAAATTTGGAACAGAAATTTGTCAAATGTAGGGAAATTCAAGTTCAAAAGTAATATATACTTCATCAGATAGATAAATTGGTTTCCAACATTAATGAATTATATTTCTGGGTTACTGTAGTTGTTGAATAAAAATTTCAAATGTAGGACTTTTTCCAAATTCCGAATTTGGGATTTTTGAAAAAAAACAACCAAAATTCAAACAATGTATATAAAATAGAAATTCTTTATTAGTGATGTTACATTAAAACATTTAAAATAAAGTTAGCATAATTTCATTGGAACGTTGATTGTATGAAGATACTGTAAAATTCCACAAAAACTGCAAAAAATAGATTTTTTAATTAGGAACTTTTTCGAAACTTTACCTTCTGTCCAATTTTTTGAAAAACAACGTTTCGCATTGACGGTATTGATTCTTGAGCGTAGATGTTCATTTTTTTCGTATTGCTGAAAATCAAAAACGTTTCGGATTACTGTAGTTTCCAAACTCACCTACTAATACATTGGTGTTTTTCGAGTGATTCTTATAAACTGATTTGAACTTTCTGAATTTTTCAATATTTATACGAATCTTCTAGAAAAAAAAATCTGAAATAGGCCAGTTGATTAGGATAACAACATCTTTCAAAAAATATTAATTTCCACGCGTTTTTTGAAAATTTCGTCGACTTCCAATTCCACGTAAAATGCCCAGGATTTTCCAACAGTTCTAAAAATCCACAAATATATTTCCTCCTCTTTTGACACCCTGATTTAGTGATCTACTCTATATTAAGATCCTCCTGGAAGATCCCTATAAATACCGAAAGAATCAGAAGATTGAATCATATCTTTGAGATTTCTCTCAAATATCAAACAATGAGGAAAACTCTTATTTTCTTGAGTTTACTGTTTACAGTAACTGCAGACGCTTCGGCTAAAAGTGAGTTTGTTTTTTGATTTTTGGATTTCCGGAATTCTCAATATTTCAAAAAAAAATTATAAATTTTTTCAGACAATCCAACCAATGCACTCCACGGCATCATTGAAAAGTTCGAGTCCCTTTCCCGTATCACCAATGGACTGGCACTTCAAAAAGAACTCAACTCCAAATCTCTGAAAATCGATCACCTGCTGGCTGAAATCCTTGGAATCAACCCGGAAAATAATGGATTTGAGGAATTAAGGAAGTTCAAAATGGACGATTTATCTAAAAGGTACGCGAAAATTTCCACTGATGCGGGTACTGTAAAAAAGTCGAATATCGATGAATCGATGGTGAAATCCCAACTGGATGTTCTTGGAAAAATGGGGGAAGATTTGGAGGTTTTAAAAAGTGGAGAATACCAGAATGTGGATGAGATTGTGGAAAAGGGGAAGAAGATTTTTGAAATGCGTGTTACTTCGATATCTGGAATTTTTAATACATTTCCAAGGGCACTCAATAAAACATTCAATCTAAAAGACGGCCGGTCCGATGAGAACGAGTTTAAAAGCAGTTTCAAATTGTTGTCCGAAGTAATCAATGATTTCCGAGACAAGGTTAAAGATAGCAAATGATGACAAAAATACCTTGAAAAAAAAATGATATCTGACTTGATTGTCTTGAAGGCGTTGAATGACAAAATGACTGAAACTAAAGTTCATTGGAGAAGTTTCAAGACTAAAATCGACATCATAAAAGTTAAGAAATCTTTGGATCTTGTGGAAGGTGCCAGTCATCATGTAATGGATATTAGTTCGTTTCAAACTCTCCAATTATCCTCATCTGAAGTCGAAAGATGCCTTAAGGATCTCACTCAAATTTCTGTAGACGTTGATTTTGAACAATTGAATAAAATGCTGAATCAACTAGAGTCTATTGAAAAAGCCGCATTGGAATTGAAACCGTTGTTGGTTGAATTCTCCGAAATCTCAGTTCTCGAAAACGAAACCATGTTCAATGCTTTTGAATCAGATTTAGGTCAAATAGATCACACTCTAAATTATATGGGATTGCAACAAGAAGCTGATCGGCTGAGAGCTAAACCAGAATACAAAGACCTTCTGGAAGGATTTCTCACGGCAAACGAAATCATAGGCAAGATTGAGAACATTGGGATTAGAAACTTGTTGATTCGAAAAATTCAGAAATGGGATGCACTTTCAAAAGCTAAAGTCGTTTTGAACGGTACGAGCCTGATTGAAACCCTCGAATGCCTTCAACAGAAGAAATTTGATGCCACTGGAATTTCAAAGCTTCTGACATTTGGATCCATGATTCGATCAATTGGTGATGAATACAAGAAGGATAAGAGTATGGAGACATTTATTGGACAAGTGGACCAATTCCAAAAAAGTTTAAGAAACTTGGCTGCCAGCGTTCGTCCCAAAAGATCACCTTCAAATTCAACAGTTGATTCTTTTCAAAATGGTCTAATAGTGGCACAGGATCTCAGTAAAGGAGTGGATCTCCTTCGGAAAATGGGAAATCTCTATGGAAAGAAAAAGGATTTGGACATGGTTGTGGCTGGAGGGAAAGAAGTTTTCCAAGAGTTTCAAAATATTATCGCTTCTGTTGATACTGAGAAATTGGAGTCTGAAATGAAGAAGACGTCGGAGATCTTCAGAAGCTTGAGTCTAACGCAAAGAAATATCCAAATCCAAATCTTCAAGTCATGGGAGAGTTTTTTGAAAACGCGAGCACAATCCACGGTGTTTCCATTGACTCCAAATTGTTGCAAGATCCAGTTGCTGCTTCTTTTGAGAAGTCTTCAAATCAAAAGATTCAAAGTGTGGCAGTTCCACTCAAAACTCTCGGAAGTCTTCAACTGGATTTCTCAAATGGAAGATCTGATTTCAAATCTGCCCAATTGAGTCTCTCGAAACTCCAGGAGTACTTTGATCAAGTCTTTTCAATTCAACGAAAGTCCCACAAGTGAGTCATTTTCAGGGAGTCTTAAAAAAATAGTAATTTTCCAGCGCCGAATCCGATCCTTTGAATTTTAAGACCATTGGAATCTATGGAGGAAGTGGACTGATTTTTATAGCAACTTTAATTGGATTCATTTTCTTGGCAAGATGTATAGGTGAGTTTTAGCTATTTTCAAAAATAAAATTTCCATTGTTTTTCAGTGGACGATAGGAAGCGCAGCGATCCTAACTACTATATTCATCTTCTGGATTCTGGAGATGAGTCGGTGTTAACAACGTCAAAGATGATGGCCGTAGCTACGAATTTCTTCACATTCATCGAGCGATTCGACGGCATGATTTGAGTGCATTGAAAAGATGTATTAAGAATGGAGCGAACGTGAACGCCTATGGTAAGTACCGAATCGGGCAATTGTGAGGAACACTTTGTTCAATTATTCTTTTTGAATAAATTTGAGCTTCTGAAATTAAAAAAAAACAGTAGCCTACTTCTCATCAGTTAAGTCTTGGAAAATAGTTTATTTTTTCCAGTTTGGCAAAAAGGAAAATTTTTGACGCCTCTACACATAGCAGTTAATAATTATGACTTTGATATGGCGCGAATTCTTCTTATGAATGGAGCCGACAGATCTCTTAAAGATAGTGATTATAAAACGGCGGAAGAGTGTATCCATGAAGATGACGACGATACGAAAAAGGTGTTTGACGAGTTGAAAGGAAAATCTTACCGTCGAAGACTGCCACAACAATTTCCAAAATCGAAATATTTGATTTACGGGCATTTTCCAGGGAGATGGAGTTTTCGGGTGCGTTTGTTTTAAGATAATTTTTAAATTCCATAATACCGTGAACACTTCAATAGAACGTCACCTAGACCGTCAGCTTTGAGCTCAATTAACTCGGCTGCTTTACAAGATAGCAGGATCCAAGGATGGTTCACCCCTCTGCTCCTATAAACGGAAACTCCTGTCGCTGGTCATCGTCTCCTGACAAACTCTCCAAATGTTGATGCTATGAAGAACCATAATCAGAGCCCTAACTTTTTGAAATCTTTGACAGGATTCGAGATAATTGAGCTTGAAGTTGGCGGTTTGGATGGGATTCTATTAGAGGAAATACTGTAATTTATTCCTCACAGACTCGACCTCGTAACACATATTTTAAACTTCCGAATAAAATAAATTACAATTACAGACAGTGAATGCGAAAGAAATGGCGACACATATGGTATTGTTGGAGGGGATAACAAATGAAGACAACGTCAATTTGGACGGAATTATGAGTCTTCAACCGACTGATCTCAAGTTTTTGTTCCAGTGAGTTTTTGAAATTTGGAACTTGAAAAATTGAAAATTTTCGAATTAATTGCAGAAACGTAATGATAATGAAGAACACTTGGCTAACGGTTTGTAGCAAATGGTGGCATCCTTGGCTTTCCGTCGATTTCAAGTATCGTGTGACAAAAGTGGAATTTAGTGGAAAAATTTACGAGACGGTTGAGAAAATCCATCAACACAGCCAAGAACGACGTATTCCATTTTTGTTTGGAATCAAAGTCTATTTGATTGGTTTTGACGACAAGGACAAAACATCCAGAGAAGTGCGTGATGCATTGAAAGACACGATGCCGTTGTTAGGAGTCGATGAAGTTATCACAAAACGAATCCTAAAACCAATGGACAAAATTTTCATTCAAGGAGACGTTTCTGAAGTTTCTCAAGTGAGCGATTTTTCATTTATTTCACAAAATTATGGGGAAAGATGCAGACAGCAATCATAGCATAATTATGAAACTTGGGAAAAATGAAAAAAAATTCAAAAAAGAAATTTCAAATTTATTTTTTCTCAGGACAAGAGATGGAATCCAGAATACTTGAAATGCAATCGTTTTTCGGTGATGACTGTGAATGAATTGCTCGAATTCCTCCTCAAATTCGAACCGCATCATTATGGATTGTCTGGAAAGGAAGATGAGACCACGTTCAAAAAATGGCAGCCATTTAACAAAGAACCGGAATAATATAACTAACTAGAATTAAGAAAAAACATTTCTACTCGTGCCTTTAATACTTTTTTGAAGACTTCAAAACCAGTTACAATTGTCTGGTAAATATCAATAAACTTGGTTTTTGTTGTGTGTTATTTTTAGGGTTGTCAAACCGGCGTTTTGAATTTTGAGTTTTTTTAAAGGTTCTGGCTTTTTAAAAACTCAATTTTTATGAGTTATGAAATGCTCAATTTAAAAAAAAAATTTCCTGAATTCTTGAATTTTCCCTTTTCCGGAATTTCAAGTTTCACTCATTTTTTAAAAGTTTTTAACTTTACTGAAACTTCCGGTTTTCAAAATTACTGAATTTCTGAGAATTTTTTTTTGAAAATTTTTAAAATTGATTGCATTGCTTAAATTTTGCGAGTTTGTGGATTTTGAACTATAATAAAATTTTCTGAATTTCTGAAAATTTTGCGATTATTTTTCTGAATTTTGATCTGAATTTTGAGTCAGATTTATCAAAATTTCAAAAGATCAAGATTTCCAGAATTCCAGGTAACTGAGAAGTTCAGAAAAACGAACATCGGGAGTTCCGGAAAACGCAATAATCAGAAAATAAGAGTTTCAGAAATTGTGAAATGAAAAAAGTTTATATTAGAAACTTTTTCAGTGTTAAAATATGTGCAAATAGAAATCTGGAAATTCAAAAACAAAATCGCAACTAAGATTTTTCGAACTTCTTGAATTTTCTTAAATTTTAGTTTCTTTTTGGAATTTTAGAAATCATTAAAAAGAATTTTGGTTTTTTCGAGTGATCCAAATATTCGAAATTCTAATGATTAATGAAATGCTCCTTCCTCCTCACCATAAGATAAGTTTAACGCCGGTTAAATAAAAGAAGAGAAACATAATTTCTTCTGGTTTCGAAATGTATTTAAAATTGAATCTTGTGTGTGAAGAATCTTCTTGGTGACCTTATCGGTTGGAGGGAAGCGCTCTACACCAATATCGACAACAAAGCAGCATATCAGGCAGTGGTGGACCATCCTATCATTCTGTTCAGAAGATATATACTACATCGTGGTAGCGGAATCTCAAGACACACTGGACAATATCTTCACATGCCTAAACAGTCAGGCAACACATATTCGTCTCACACAGGAAGCACCCAAGATGGACTGGTTACCGTTTCTGAACTGTGAACTCCGCTTCAAAAACAAGGTATTCTCTAGTAGGTGGTACCGGTTATCCACCAAAGGGGTACCCTCACAAAATCAGTAAAATATATCGAAACGACTATACCAAGGATAAAAGTAACATTCCCATCTTGGCAATCCCCTTCGTCTCTGACAGTGTAACCAATGTAGTGCGTTCATCTCTCAACCAAGTGGGACTGGAAGCTAGAGTGGTGGAGCTTAAAGGAAAATCACTTCGAGACCTTCTTGTAAAAACCGGCTTTACGACGTCAGATGTACAAGAAGGCAGTGCCGTGTATGCCCAAATATCGGTGAAGGTGGTTGTTTTTTTTTCCTAAAAGTTTGAAAAAAAAAGTAATACGTCACTAAACACTTTTGGAAAATAGAAAAGTGTCACGAAAAAAATATCGCGTAAAAATCGAAAAATTGAGTTGTCATTATTTGCTGACCCCGAAATTAATCAAAAGTGCTCACCTCAGCCATTTTTGATCCAGCAATGATCCAACAATGTCCCATGTTATCGAAGTAATATGGTTTCGCAGGCTGATCTTCTCCTTTTTGGAACATATCTCAGCCGGGGTTTGGTAAACCTCCGCAATCAACATTTTCAACTCCCAAGTCACGCACCAGCGGTTCCAGAACAGCCTGTATGTATCCTTCTGTTTTGTCGCAAAAACCACCCAGATTGACTGCGACTCCATACAAAAAAGGAATACGTCGTTCTTGGGTGTGCTGATAGATTTTCGCTACCGTCTCGTAGATTTTTCCATTGACACAGACTTTTGTCACACGATGTTTGTAGTCCGCAGCAATCCATCGATGCCACCATTTTTTACAGTTTTTCGACCAACTGGGTTTCATGATCATTACGTTTCTGTAAGAAAATAAGTTTTGAATACCCAATAGTTTCTGAATTTCTGAATTTATGAATTTCTGAATTTCTGAATTTCTGAATTTTTGAATTTTTGAATTTCTGAATTTCTGAGTTTCTTGGAATTTCTGAATTTCTGAATTTCTGAATTTTTGAATTTTTGAATTTCTGAATTTCTGAATTTCTGAATTTCCGAATTTTTGAATTTTTGAATTTTTGAATTTCTGAATTTCTGAAATTCTGAAATTCTGAAATTCTGAATTTCTGAATTTCCGAATTTTTGAATTTCCGAATTTTTGAATTTCTGAACTACTGAATTCAAAACTTATTGGAAAAAAAAACTTGAGTCGGTCCGGATTCTTAGAAATAAGGTCATCAATATTGACAATTTCCTGTACTTGATTATCTTCTTCGTTCCAAAAACTGATATGTGTCGCCATTTCTGCCTTATGCACTGTCTGTAAATCAATTTTTTTTGAATTTTCGATTCTTCAAAAACGCCCAACCCGATGTTTGCGTTTCGAGAACCCTTCAGAATAAATCAACCATTTCGATTTCGCAAATTGTTTCGGCAATCTTCGACGGAAGGTTTTTTCTTTAAACTTTTTAAACATCGAATCAGTCATACACAGGAGACATTCTTCCGGTGTTCTGTAACTACTATCTCTGAGATTTACATCGGCTCCATTCATTATCAAAAGTTTCTGCATTTCTTCAGAATTCATGTCAACTGCGATATGTAGAGGTGTCCACCATGTTCCATGTTGCTGAACTGAAAAATCATACTTAGGATTAGTATAAAATCTTTTACAGTAGGAGTACTGTAATGGCCATAACGTAATAGAGTAGCTTCTTGGCTGTTACTCTATCAAATTCTTACCATAGGCATTAACATTCGCTCCATTCTTAATACATTTTTTCAACGCATCTACATTCCGATCTCGAATCGCCTGATGAATTGGAAAGCACTAGTATGGTTTGCCACATATCGTTCCCCTTACTAACTCTGACTCATCTCCAGAATTGAGACGCGAAGGGCCTGGCAAAGACAATAGGTTAGAACGCGAACTCCATTTCCCACCAAAATCCAGACAAACACAGAAAAAAAACATTGTCAAAATCAGTAAAAGTCTGAAAATTTTTCAAACAGAAATTTTTCTTCAAAAATAATCTAGTTAGTTTGATTAAATGGCTGCCAACTCTTGAACGTGGTCTTATCTTCTTTTCCAGACAATTTATAATGATGTGGTTCGAATTTGAAGAGGAATTCGACAAGTTCATTAATATCCATTACCGAAAAACGATTGCACGTAAAGTATTGTGGATTCCATCCCTCGATCTGAGAAAATGTAAACATGGGGAACGTCACTAACAAGTTCAATAGCTCACGTCAGTAGTTGGGCGGTATTCAGGAATTGGAATAATGATGAACGCATGTCCCATGTTATCAAAATAGTAAGGTTTGGGTGGATGATCACACCCTCCTTGAAAATCCGCGTCCGTTGCTTTCGGGTGACCCATCACAACGTCATCGGCTCCTAATAATTTCGCAACATCCGAAACCGTTTTGCTTGAGAACTGGCCCGTACAAGTCTCAAGTTCAAATCCTACCAAGTAGAATTTTACTCCATTCAGAAATGGAATACGTCGTTCTTGAAGATGTTGATGAATTTTTAGAAGTGTCTCGTAAATTGTTCCATCGAGGTTGAGTCTTGTCACACGATACTTGTAGTCAACAGTCAACCAAGGATGCCACCATTTCGCACAATCAATTACCCAGGAAGGTTTCATTATTATGACGTTACTGAAAAAAAAACAGAAAAAAAACAGATTTTTATAGGGGAAGACTGCCATGGAGTTTAGGCGATACACGTATATCATCGGAATCATCGGTAAATCCTAATTTATCGTAAATGCTCTCAAAGAACGATTCTTGTACTTTCCGTTTCCACCAGCCTGTTTGTCGCGCCATTGGCTGGTGCGCTTGTGACGCAATGTAACTTTTTTAAAAAATTTGTTTTAGGGTGACGTCAATTTAGATTTTATTTTCAAGCTTTTCAAAATTTGCGAACAAACCGAGAAATAAAGAGGCGTAGTTTTATTCATTTATTACCAGGCTGTTTGCCGCGCCTCCGACGCAACAGCTGGCTGGTGCGCCTGCGGCACGATGTAGTCTATTTCTTTTCTTTTTAAAATAGGACATGCTACAAAATAGAACTGCCACGAAATAAGTCTGGAATGAGCTATAACTTGGATTTGGGTAGTTTTATTTTGTAGACGAGTGTAGCGTTTTATATATAAGAAAAATTATAAGAATGATTAGCAGGGGTGTTCGGAACGGGATTCGGAATTCCGAAAATTCCGCCTGGAATATTTCTGAAGCTTTTTTTAGGAATCCAATTCCGATCGAAATTCTTCTGAAGGTTTTTTGAACTACAGTATGTCAGAGGCGCACGCGAAAAGTTTGCTTGCGGGTCTCGAACGGAATTACTTCTGATGTTTTTTGCGCTGTCGAATTCTTTCTGTCAACTTTCACCAGTTTTTCGTTTTTTCTGATAAAAAAATGAAGCTTCAACTTTAAAATTTTGATGTTTTTAAAAAACCGACATTCCGAAATTCCGAATTTTTAAAATAGTATTTTTTTTTGTGATTTTTTTCGTTCGACTCTCGAAAAGGATATAAATATTTTGGAATCCACGATTTGTGTCTTTTTCCTTAATTTTGGAACTCAAACGTACTCAAAGAAAAAATTAATATTTGAAAAATCCATCCTATTGGGATTTGGTTCATCTACCGAGCATACCAAATGTGTTGTCGTCTCCGATGCTCCGTACATTTGTATATTCTGAAATCAAATTGATGTTTTTTTTTCAGTTTCTGATTCTCTGAAAAAATAACACCTGCGTTGGAAATCGTTTCAAAAAGCGTTCGTCTTCAACATCCCGAATCAAATATTTCGAATTTGGAAATTGCTCTGGCAATCTTCGACGGAAGGTTTTTCCTCTCAACTGATCGAAAACCTTTTTCATATTGTGGTCTGTTTCTTGGATACACTCTTCCGGCGCCAAATAACACCAATCCCTAAGATTTCTGTCTGCTCCATTCATGATAAGAAGTTTCGCCATTTTCCATTCTTCCTGTTTAACTGCCATATGTAGTGGTGTGAGTTGTTCTGGGACCGTTCGAGCTGAAAAAATAACAAAAATCAATTTTTCAAAACGTACCACACCCTCCTACCATAGGCATTAACATTCGCCCCATTCCTAACACATTTTTTCAAAGCCTCCATATTCCTATCTTTAATCGCTCGATGAATTGGAAGAAAGTCCCAAATTTGTGTATTTATTGTTACCGTGGTTAACACTGATTCTTCTCCAGAATCGAGGAGATGAATATAGCAGTTTGGATCGGTACGCTTTCTATCATTCACTGTAAAATAATGGAAAATCGATATTTTTTTAAATATTAAACTCACTTATCCACTTTGCCACGAATATTAACCCAATCAAAATTGCTATGAAAACCAAACCAGTTCCTCCATACATACCGTAGGTCTTGAAGTCAAAAGGCTCAGATTCGGCACTGGAAAATTACTATTTTTTAAGACTCCCTGAAAATGACTCACTTGTGGGACTTTCGTTGAATTGAAAAGACTTGATCAAAGTACTCCTGGAGTTTGGAGATACTCAATTGGGCAGATTTGAAATCAGATCTTCCATTTGAGAAATCCAGTTGAAGACTTCCGAGGGTTTTGAGTGGAACAGCTACACCTTGAATCTTTGGATTTGACGACTTCTCAAATGAAACTGCTACTGGGTCTGTTAACAATTTGAAATCAATCGATACACCGTGGATTGTGCTGGCATTTTCACAGAACTCTCCCATGGCTTGAAGACTTGGATTTGGGTTTATCTTGGCATTGGAATTCATTTTCTCTAGGTCGCCTGACGTCTTCTTCATTTCAGACTCCAATTTCTCAGTATCAACAGACGCGATCATATTTTGAATCTCTTGGAAAACTTCTTTCCCGCCAGCCACCACCATGTCCAAATCCTTTTTCTTTCCATAGAGATTTCCCATTTTCCAAAGGAGATCCACTCCTTTACAGAGATCCTGGGACACTGTTAGACCGTTTTGAAGAGAATCAACTGTTGAATTTGAAGGTGATCTTTTGGAACGAACGCTCGATTTTAAGTTTTTCAAACTTTTTTGGAACTGGCCCATTTGCCCAATAAATGTCTCCATACTCCTATCTTTCTTGTATTCATCGCCAATCGATCTAATCATGGATCCAAATGATAGTAGTTTTGAAACTCCAGTGGCGTCAAATTTCTTCTGTTGAAGGCACTCGAGGGTTTCGATTAAATTCGTCCCCTTCAGGATCTCTTGTGTTTTACTCAGAGTGTCCCAGTTTTCCCATTTTCGATTTAACAAGTCTTCGATCCGTGTTTGCTGAATTTTGACCATATTACCATACGCTTCAAGCGATCCAGATAAAAGATCACGAAAATCTTGATTTTCTTTTATTTTAGTAACAGCGTCAAGAATTGAAGAAGTGCTTTGTTTTGGGTCAACTTTCATCAACTCCTTTCGAAGTGCCTTGAAAATTTCAGTTTTCTTGAGAACGTCAATCTTATCGAAATTTGGCATCAAGTCGCTAATTATGGTTGCAGCTTCATCAATACTCTTTAATTCATCAAATAGCTGTTTGACTTCGGTTATGTTTAAATTGGACACAACTGGAGACAAATCATTAAGACATTTTCCAACTCCTTCGGATGACTTTTTCAATGCTTGAACCGTGGTGATATCCACCAAATTCGAAATAGCAGATTCCCAAATTTTCAGAAATACTTCAACTTTCTTGAGGCCCGCTTCACTTTTCATAACTTTCCAGAGTGATTCGGCGGGCAGTATTTTCGAACCGAGAATTCTAAGATTGTTCAGATCACTTTTCATCTTTTTCAGCATCGTTTCATTGTTTCTTGCCACCATCTCAATAAACCATGTCCCTTGAAGATCTTCGAAAATCATCTGAATGTCGCTTGAACCAAGCGGTAAACCACTTGTCAAAGTTCTTCCGGATATTTGTCCACGTGCCGATTTTTGATGATTTTGAAACAAAAAATTCAAATCTCGAACTATAATTTTCATTTGAGACGACTGTTCAATGAAAGGGACAAGTATTGGAATATCCTTATTCAAGGAATCCATACTACTTTTCAATTTGTTCAGCGATTCATGAGAGTCTTTGTAGACGTTTGCGACTTCTATCAGAGTTTCCAGCGAGGAAAGTTCTTTTGAGATTCCAATGACTGGCCACAGAGTTTTTAGAGTCTCTTTGTATTTCAACAAACTAGTGATACTGGTTTGAAAATACTTCACGTCAGCCTTAAGGTCTAAGAAATTGTTTATCAACTCTTTTTCATCATCTTGCGTCAAGACCTCAATTGTGAATGTCTTATTAAACTTCAATGGAAATTTTTGGAAATCTCCAGAGAAAATATCGCTATCGGTTTCAAAAACCTTTTTCAATTTCTCCACAATCTCATCCACATTCTGCGTCTCTGCCCTTTTTATCACCTCCAAATCTTTTTCCATATTTCCAAGAACATCCAGTTGGGATCTAACCATCGATTCATCGATATTCGACTTTTTGACACCACCGCCTCATTGGAAAGTTTCGCGTACCTTTTAGATAAATCGTCCATTTTGAACTTCCTTAATTCCTCAAATCCATTATTTTCCGGGTTGATTCCAAGGATTTCAGCCAGCAGGTGATCGATTTTCAGAGATTTGGAGTTGAGTTCTTTTTGAAGTGCCAGTCCATTGGTGATACGGGAAAGGGACTCAAACTTTTCAATGATGACGTGGAGTGCATTGGTTGGATTGTCTGAAAAAATTTATAATTTTTTTTGAAATATTGAGAATTCTGGAAATCCCGAAAAATCAGAAATCAAACTCACTTTTAGCCGAAGCGTTTGGAGTTACTGTTAACAGTAAACTCAAGAAAATAAGAGTTTTCCTCATTGTTTGATATTTGAGGGAAATCTCAAAGATATGATTCAATCTTCTGATTCTTTCGGTATTTATAGGGATCTTCCAGGAGGATCTTAATATAGAGTAGATCACTAAATCAGGGTGTCAAAAGAGGAGGAAATATATTTGTGGATTTTTAGAAACGTTGGAAAATACTGGGCATTTTACGTGGAATTGGAAGTCGACGAAATTTTCAAAAAACGCGTGGGGATTTTTGTCATCCTGATTCACTGCCCTATTCTAGTTTTTTTTCTTCTGGAAGATTCTTATAAATATCGGGAATTCCAGCAAATTTATATCAGTTTAAAAGAACCACTTGAATAACATCAATGCATTAGTAAGTGAACTTGAAAAGCTACCGTAGTCCAAATTTTTGAATTTAGGCAGGTCAAAAATGAAAATTTTCATTGTTGTAAAAATCGTCATAGCTAGCTTGAGAAGAATTCGGTATTTATCAAAAATTCGGACGAAAGGTTAAATTCAAAAAAATCCTAATTTAAAAAATCTAAAATTTTGCAGGTTTCTGGACTTCTGCAGTACGAATCAGCGTTCCAATAAAATTATGCAAACTTTCTTTTAAATTTTTCAATCAGAAATGTTTTAATAAAAATGTTGCTTAATCTTCTTTACAGAGTTTCTGATTTTTGAAACAAGTTTTCAAAAAAAAATACAAAATTCGAAAATTTCATGTTTTCAACTATTTGAGATCCGTAATCGAAAACTACAGTAACCCAAAAATTGTCTATCTAATAAAAATGTATTTAGACCATTTTGGAATTATTGAAATTGAGAGTTTCCTCTTCCTCTTCAGATTCAGAAACCTCTTCCGATTGTAGAAAAGTATACAAAATACGGGTAACATTTGAATAAGCCAAAAAAAGTTTATAACTCCTTCAGAAACTCACTCCAAAAATGAGAAATTAGTACTGTAGTCACTTTTATAGCTCATATCTTTTTTCACGAGGGCGGGGTGGAAAAACTGACTACAGTTTTGTAATCAGCGTGCCCAAAAGGACCAATAGTTTGAGCAAAATCAAAAATATATAGTTTGAGCAAAATCAAAAATATGCGGTTTGTCTAGAATCTTCAATGGATCACAATCCTTTGAAAATTGTGGAAAAATAGATGAAAACAAAAAGTTTCGAAAATAACGTGTAAAACAGTTAAAATAAAAATGGAAACCAATTCCAAGTATATGGAACCATATAGGACCACCTAGAAGTCAAATACAGTCACCGCAAAGAACGAAGAAAAAATTCAAAAAAAGTTTAGCAGCTCGAGGGAGTCGAACAAGAGAGTCATCACTTGATATACCTCCTCAGTGAGGAGTGTGCCTTATCGACAAAGATTTTCCGATTTTGTCGACAATTTACGTGACAAATTATCGATAAATTTGTCGATAAAAAACGATAAAATTTTGTCGATAAATCGTCGACAAATTATCGGTAAATTTGTCGAAAGTAATTTATCGACAAATTTATCGACAAAATTTTGTTGATAAATTGTCGATGAATTTGTTGTTTTTTTTGTCGATAAATTTGTCGAAGGGGGCATTTGTCGACAAATTATCGACAAAAAATTGCTATTGACCGCCGGAATTAATTGTAAAAAATCGTATCTCATCTTTTTTCTAGGCCATCTGACCTGGTGGCCTAATTTTTCCAACATGAATTTTCTAGGCCACCAAACTTTTTGACCTGAAAATGATCTGATGTTAACATGGTGTGTTTTTAAGCCATTTTAACATAGTGGCCTAACTTTTGCATTATGAGTTTTCTAGGCCACCAATCTTTTTGGCCTAGAAATGGTCAGATATTCACCTGGTACGTTTTCTGAGCCATTTCAACATGGTGGCCTAACTTTCGTAAGTTGAGTTTTCTAGGCCACCAACTTTTTTGGCCTAGAAATGGTCAGATATTCACCTGGTACGTTTTCTGAGTCATTTTGGGGAGGTGACCTAACATTGCAAGTTGAGTTTTCTAGGCCACCAAATTTTTTGCTTAAAAATGATCAGATCCATCTGGTATGTTTTCTAGGCCATTTTTACATGGTGG